AACGCGAGTTAGAACAAGACCTGGATTTTTTAAATAATGTTAACCGAAATGCCCAGACTTACCAACATGTAACAACTTCAATATTTCATATGTACATGTGCCTTTTTAATTTTGAGCTTGGAGCATTTGAAAAGCATATTTCCCACATTATTTTTCTTAAATGAATCAATTTTAGCTTCTAGCATAACAGTTTTACATAAAAGAATGAAATCTAAAAAAGTAACTGAACTAACTTCTGAGCAAAATAATCATGTATCACAATATGAATGTTAATGTACATATGTTATGAACAAAAACGATGTAGAAGGCTTGAAGAGTAGATAAAGTAAATACCAGGAATACCTCCTAGTTTGAATTAAAGCTAATTTATTAACATTCTGTATTAGACAAGAATATTAGGCTAGAATTTAATGTAAATGTATTTAAAACTTCATTATAATAGCAGTTTTATACATTTGAAATAAATCAAATCTGAATCTAAGATCAAAGATGTTGCAATATTGCATGTAAAGTAAATGAATAAAATTCTGACAAAATCAGGCTAAATTGTGTGTTGGTTAAATATAAAAAATTTGAATAGGATCTAGAGGATACCTCTTCAATCAGGAAATTAAAACTTCCGTGTTCAATGAATAATATTTGCAATTTAAAATGATATGAAATGAAAGCAAACATTAGGAAAGTTTAATGGGAATCATTGCACAGGAATCAACTTCGGAATATTATTCTTTGTATATTTCTATCTTAATGTGACATCGTTGTGGCAATCTCTTATGACTCTCATGTTAGATAGCAAAAGGCATGGCAGGGAAGAGACGGACATCATGATAGAAAGGAGACTAATTAGAGCCCCTTGAATCTTTTATTTCATTTGGATTCAGTTGTGTTACACCAGCACACACGGGGCTCACACTATGCGTTATTTACTTTTTCTGGTTGCTAAGTATTCACAATAAACATTTTGATCCTCGTGTTCAGGGACATTAGAGGTGATATTTTAATAACAAACTGAAGAGACAAAAAGATTTATGAGTAGTCAAGCCACTTGGACTTCTACAATTATTTCAAAAGAATTCCATGTGCCTTAACACCACTTATATTTGAGATAGTTGATGGTAATAAGATGTAATTATAACCTATCCACTACACCTGTTTGTCTTGTGACAGTGAGAGGTAGTCTTTTTTTTCCGTATAATTAAAGAGGTTTGTTTGTTTTTAGATTTTTGTCATAGGGCATATATACTTGCCATAGACAGACAGACAGGAAAAGTGAGAACTCAACCCCCTGGAGGGATGACTGCAATCCCTTTCTCCTGCATTCTCTTCTCAAGATTTTGGGCACTCATGTACATGTACCCAGGGTGATTTTTCAAGTTATAGTTTCAAGAATTTTCACCATGCGGTTGGCCATGTGGGATCCAGCACTGTAACTTCCACATCATCTGCTGGCCTTGGTAGCAACATAAAATTTTAAGTTTTCAGAGATTCTTCAGACAGATGGTGTTCAGAGAGTGATTCTCCACCTCCGAAAATGGTAAAACACAGGAATACTTTACTAGGAACCAAATTTCAGAGAATAAAGAATTCCGGCAGCAGTATGTCAGCACAGTGTCACTGTGACCCAGCTAAAAATCTGTGGGAGGATATATAAAAAGGAGCGCATAGAAAGAAGAGTGGGAGCCTTAGACTGGGAAGAATACAAAGCGAAAACCTTTTCTTGCAATAAAAGATGCATAAAATATTTTAAAGTTTCCGTTCTAGAAATGCATGTTTTCAGTTGAATGTGGAATGAATGTGTGTGTATGGAGTCCATGCCATCACTTAGAATCGTAATCATTTCCCAATCGAGATGGTATTCAGCCATCGAGAAAGTCACGACATATTTTTCTATACAAAATGTATCATGACTTTCTTGACAACCCACAAGTGTACATCCATGTACAGATCAAAGAGAAAGAAATGCGGTTGCCAAATACTGAAGGAAAGATGGACGCTTTAGATAAGGACCACTAAATACTTCACGTTAGCACAGAAAGGTCTAACATTTGATAGAACTCGAAAGGGTCTCAAATTCTGTTAAGCATAAAAGCAATACCCAAAATGATATGTCCCTATGACACCAAATGCAGTAAGGTACAAGTAATGTCCTAATAAGACTTCTCTAAATTGTTTATATTTACAGATTAATAATAAACATAAAAATAATAATAAACATATCTGATGTTTATTAAGTATTTATGAATTGCCAGACTGTTTTCTCAGCATGAAACATGTACTACCTCATTAAATAGCTCTTCTACATACCTGTATAATATTAAAGTAGTTCTATTTGAACTAAATATTGGTGTGTCCCCACATAAACAGATTTCAGCTACTGAAATCCTAATCTTTAGTGTGATGATATTAGTAGCAGGGCATTGGGCTTAGTGCTTTCTTGGAGAAACATGAAAGAAACAAGTTCTCCCCTAATCACGTAATGATATAATAAGAAGACCCTGATCAGCACACCGGGAAGAGTGCCCTCACAGACACTTTCTCTGTCAACACCTTGATCTTGGACTTACTAGTCTCCAGAACTGTGAGAGATCAATGTTTCTTGTGTAAGTCATCCAGGCTATAATGTTTGGGTACAGAAACCGGAACTAAGACCTCCATTTTGGGGATGTATTAATACTATTACTATTACTATTTTAACATGAGCAAATTGAAGTATTGTGATGTTAAGTAACTTGTGAGGATCACAAGCTGGGTAGTTATGGTTTTAGTGTCCAAGCCATAAGGTTTGTACCCAAAGGTGATAATATTCTCTACTCTATGAACGTATTTGTCTGAAGTAATAATTTGGCAAAATATTTCCATAAATTCTATTTTCCCTAAAGTCTTATGAGGAAAGGGGAAAATGGATTATTTTGCTAATAACTAGAAAATAAAGTTCAAGCCTTTTAAAAGTGCATTACAGTACCTATGTGAGGCATGGAGGTTTAATGGACCATGTCTCATTCCACCTTATTACCACTCACATACACTCAAATACTTCACTCAAGTCTTTCAATTAAAATAAACTATAGTAATAGGTAACCAATTCTTCATTAAATACTTTTGTTACTCATTTTATAAATAACAGAAGAAAGCATAATTTAAAATGAAAATAAATTCAAGGCATTAAGAAGGTACTTTATAATGATGAAAGATGCAATTTACCATGTGGATATAAATTGTCATAATTCTCCTACAAAAGATTTTGCTAGAGACATTGTACAGAATTAATAGAAATGCAAGAAGGAATCTAAGATTTGTAAAGAGATCAACTGAACATTTTCATTGGTACAATCCACTAAGTTTAAAATACCTCCCTCACTAGGTATAAAATAAATTTGAAAATTCTCTGTGACAAGAAAATACTGTAATAGTTTAATTAACTATTCATTTTTACTTTTTGACAGCCCATAAAAAAATAAGCCATTCATGAAAATGACATCTTTAATTTAATGAGTTAGAGCATTATTCTACTATGTTGTACTGTATATCCAATAACTGTATGTGGGGTGGAAAAACAAAGGTAGAAGTAAAATTGGCCTCTTTTACCATTATTCCTAATAATCTACATGCATGATAATAAATTATTCATTCCATTCTAAAAAACTGGTTTAAAGGCATTAATTCATAGACAGCAGGGAAGAGTTACTTCCACTAGGGTACACAGTAAGCTTCCCACTGAGTGTGAAGCTGCCATACTCACTGGTCACTTTGAGATCCCCAGGCTTTATATGGATCAGCAGGCAATGGAAGGTCTCTGTTTACTGACAGAGGTAACTGTCCCCAATTACCATGAGAAGTTGTAATGTCTGCTGTACAGTTGGGACAGAAGTGTCTAGAAACTTGATATTCACTGACTACCTCTGGGTCCAAATATGTCCAGTGATTGCAGTAAATACTTGTGAGCAAAGAAACTAAGGATTCAGATCCCAAGAACATGGATATGTGAGTCATCTCACAATATAAGCATCATTGATAGACTAAAATGCTACCCAAGAGTGAGAGAAATCTAGATTAGGTAATGGAGAAGGGAGATAATAAAAATAATTGTCAGCTACAAGAGCAGTCAGAGTGGGGCCAGCAGGTGGTATAGTGATTAAGGTGCTGGACTCCCCCAGACATGGAGGCTTGATATTCATGCCAGGTACATGTACACACATGCCCAAAATCCTGAGAGAAGAATGGAGGAGCAGGGATTGCAGAGGGGTCAACCCCCTGGGAGGTGATTTCTCATTTTCTCTCTCTCTATCTCTCCAGCAAGCACACATGCCCTATAGCAAAATCTCTCCTGAAAAAGAGAGAGAGAGAGAGAGAGAGAGCAGTTACAGCAGCTAGAATATAAATTGTTTCTTAAAGCCACCACCTTGCTGGGGACTTGGTGACAATTTTTCTTCTCAGAGAAGAAATGAGAAATAAGAATGCCTTGCTCATATATAATGCATCCCCTCTTGTGATGTTAGAGATGGTAATAATGAAGGAACAAGGACGTCTGAGATGCAGTGCATCTTGGTTTTACAGTTTCAGACCTCCTGTTATTACCTTTCTTTTCTTGTATCTCTTTCCTGAGTTCTGATGTCTTTTTACAAGATCCTCCCCCCCCAAAAAATGATCAGATCAGAAACGTGACCTAACTTTATGAGATATATTCATTTTGAGTATATATGAGCATATTCTTTTCTATGTGAAACTTGTGTTTCTATTCATTTGAAACACATGTAACTAAATGAAAACTAATGCATGTCAGCATTTGTATACCAGGAGTACTTAAAATATATCTGAGTAATGTTTTAAGGCCACAGATTTTAATAGAAGAGTTGGTGTTCAAATTTTATTAACTTCTAAGAGCTTTGCTATTACTACATTCTACCTCCTCAATGAAAAAAAAAAATAACAAAATAGTGCTATGAAAATTAAGGAGTCATTGATAGATAAATTTTTATTTTTGTTCTTTTTTTTTCTTTTTACAGGGGAAAGCGTTAATGCAGTCCCCCCCTACCACAAATTATGCAGTCGAGTTTCCCACATTTGGGGAAATCGCTGGGGTCAGCACATCTGGAGTACAATGGATACACCTCACCCTGGGAAACCACCTTCATGATCATGGTATCTCCCCATCCAGGTAAGTATGATAAATTGTTCTTATAATAGAAAGGAAAATGCATTAAAGTATAATTAAATTAAAAGAACCTCTGAAATTTGAGTATGTAATTTTTAGTTTATTTGCAAAAATTAAAAGTGTCATATATGTAAGACAATTTTTAAGATAAAAGAGTAACATTGTGGGACTTCAACTACCAAATATTAAGCTCTAATAATACAGATTATGTACAATAGATGTAAAAATAGAGTGATTAATGAAATCGAATATAGAGTCCAGAATCAGATATGATACATGAGTTTAGGGAAGAATTATTATTTTTTAGAGAGGTTTTTGCTATAAGGCACATGTGCTCGCCAGAAAGAGAGACAGAAAGCGAGAAATCACCTCCCAGGGGTGATGGCCATGCTGCAATCCCTTCTCCTCCTCTCTCTCGGGATCTTGGGCACGCACACACATAGGCCTGACGTAAGTTTAAGCCACTGGGTCCAGGACTCGAACCACGGTTGACTACATGGGAGTCCAGTGACATAGCCATTACGCTAACTGCTGATTTCTAGGGAAGAATTATTTAGGAAGAGGAAAGACTTTTCTAATGTTGGGAATAATTAAGAATTAAGTTTTGGGGCCAGCAGTGATGTAGTGGTTGAGGACGTTAGGCTTGCTTTCTCATTTTCCTTCTCTCTCTCTCTCTCTCTCTCTCTCTCTCTCACTCTGTCCCTTTCTGGTCAAATTAAAATAAATAAAGTTAAATAAAATAATTATTTAAAAAGAGAATTAGGTTTTATTGGGCTGTCACGGTACTTGGCAAAAATAATCTCACATTTAATACAAGCAGTGGTTTCATGTTTTGTTACCCATGAGCAGAATATTATTTATCAGATAAAATCTTCTTTGAAGGTACTGTACTGAACAAATAAAAACAAATTGTGTATGGTCTAAAATAGGTTAAATACCATAAAGTATACTTTGAAAGACCCGGATTCAACAGTAGAATGGAAAATGAAGAAGGATGGGAAATTGAAAATTAAAAATGATGGGGTGAATTCTAGATGTCAGGCTTATGAAGTTTACTTCTATTGCAGCACTGACAACAAACTTTGTCACCAGTTTTAATCACTATTTAAAAACTCTGTATCTGGACTACTCTCTGTAATCCTGCATATGTTAACCTATGAGCAGATTTACTGATTATCAGTGAATAGAGAGAGAAGGCATTTCATTTGGAAAAAAGAGAACAGGGTGATTGCTTTAAGTTTCAAGTTAAAATATTTTGGACCAATTGTTTTTATAAATGCCAATATATCTTTATCTTTTTTTCTCACCTTCTTTCCATGCTGGGCACATGTGTGTGTGTTCAAAATCCTGACAGGATGGAGAAATGAAGGAGAAGGGATTGCAGGGTGACCACACCCCACTGGGGGATGCTTTTTCTTCCCTCTCTACCTTCTTCCCTCCATTTTTCCGTTCCTTTTTCCTTCCTTCCTTCCCTCACTCTCCGTCATCTTTCTTCTTATCAGACAACTGACTAATTATGTCTTCCAAGGACTATATTTTGCTTTTCTTCTCATAAAACCTATACATCTGGAGAGCTCTTTTCCAAGAACATAGCCACATCCTTAACAAGAACCCAACATTTGTGTTTTCATGCCCAGAGAAGGATCTCATGCTTCACTAAGCAGGCAGTATATTTAGGTTTCATGTTTTTTACTCTTTTTCTTTTTTTCGCCTCAAGTCATGAAAAAACAGGGGTCCCGTTTTCTTAAAGCACCTGCATTTAATTGTAGGTTGTAGCTTGTCCTATAGAAAGACATGAGTAGCTGGGTTAAAATACACTGTACTGATACCAGAAGAAAGAGAGAGGAGGAGAGAGAGAACATTCTCATTTGGAGAATGATTTATACTCTTCAGGGGGAAAAACATCAACTAAATTCAATAGAAGTACTGAAGCTAAATAATGTGTTTTAGTTTGCTAGGATTTTACTTTTACCTCTGTCTTCCTTTGACTCCATCATGTTAACACTCTGAACTAAAAGCCTTATAATCTGAAAGTCAATATACTGAAAAGTATCTATTAAAACCTCACCTTAAAGAAAATACTGTATGTCTCAGCTTTCAGTCTCTGGTTGGTGTATTATGGAAAAATTTTCCGCATAATTTTGGCTGCTATTCAAAGTCTACATCTAAATGCATATAATTCAATAAGACCAAGGTACTCTTCTTTTTTTAGGAGTGATTTACTTAGAACATAAATTTTAGCTTCAGTTATAGAACTAAATATATATTTTGTCATCCTGCAGGCTATATAAAGCATTAATGGATTATTTAGGAAAGGTTACAAAATCCAGTCATAGAAAAGGATATCAATAATATGTACATTTTTAATTTCTTGATCGTTATTTTTAATACTTATAGGAGTTTTTCATGGAATAGAAACTATAGCTAGAAAGCTATTAACACAACTGCAAAAATATCTTTCTCTTCCATTTTATTTTTAATGTTCTCACTGAATATGTGAGTGGGTAAGGAAAGATCACAAAGCTAGAAATATTGACTGGACTTGGGTGTGCATTAGGTATATTGTCTTTGGGAAAAACATTCAGTTCAGAAATAATACAAGCCAACAGATGGCGTAGTGGTTACAGCACTGAACTCACATGCCCAACTGCAGTTGAGTCCCAGATGTGGTGGCTTGAAACATCATGCCAAGCATGTGTGGATGTGTGCCCAACATCCCAAGAGAATGGAGGAGAAGAGATTGTGTGCCCATGCCCCCTGGGGGTGATTTCTCACTTTCCCTCTTACTCTCTCTCTCTGGCAAACACATACGCCCTGTGACAAAACCCTTTAAAAAATTAATATAACATGCATTTCCAATGTGGGACAGAAGATCTGAAATTATACTTGGTTCTTTTCATTACCTCATTATTATTCTTAGAACGATGTGTATTGTTCATCGGAAAATACGTATTTTTATGACTTGTATTTGCAACAGAAGGCAATGTAGATATCTTGAATACTGAAGTTAGCTATTAGGAAGTATCTGCTGGGTAGAAAGAACAGTGGCTGTGAGCCGAGTTATGACGGTATAAACACAGACAAGTCAGGGAGCACTTTGCCTTTATCATATGTGGCACTTTGAGGGCATCATGAAAAAGGTGCTAGGCATAGACACCCTCTCAATGTTAGAATGTGACAATCTCTGCCATTTCAGGATAAAGAGAAATGAGAGCCTTTATTAATAATGAAAAGTCTTAAGGATATTGAGAAAACTCGGTGGAATGACTTGAGGACAGGATGGAACTAATCCTTAAAATCAATACAACACTAAGAAAATTATTGAACGTTAATTGAAATTTTCTCAGCTGTGGTTTCTGATAGTTGAATATTTCCAAGGAACCTGTATTCTGTGTGGTCAGAAATTTTTAAATAGAAATTTTATAAATTTTCTTTGCCCTAGTATCCACTAAATAGTTATTTATTACTTTTTTCAGACACCATTTTCCTAAACCCTTCTATAGCTGCTTTATCAGATTTTATTTTGTCTCTTTATTATTTTGTTATGATTATTTTTTATTTTGCTTTATTAAAATTTTTTTGAACAGTGTTTTACATTTTTCCCATTAGTGTGATTACACATGTCTGCAATCAATTTTTAAATTCATTTATTTTAGATGTACTTAGTACTTGTTAATTCAACTCATTCTTTTAGGTGTATTTATTATTACATATATAAGTTACATTTTCGGTTTCCTATAATTGATTCAATACATGTAAATCTTGCTATTAGTAGGTAGTATTCAATTTTTGAATAAATTTAGAAAAATATTTATGAAAAATATAAATATCTGTATGCATATATATCTACTAGATATCTTAAGAATTTACAAATGTCGGGGCTGACTGGTGGCATGGTGGTTAAAGACTCTGGATTCCCACATGGCCAACCACGGTTTGAGTTCCAAACCTGGTGGCTTGCTTTCTTGCATTCTCTTTTCCTCTCTCTG